CAGTCCTGCTGAACCACCAGACTCTGGATTTTCACCCAATTCTCAGCCCTGTTTGAGCCGCATCAAGGTTGCACGGATACAAACTGCTGCCTGGCGATTTCCATCTGGGACAGCACAGGGCCAGGCCAGCACTAGGCAAGCCTGCAGGGACACTCATGTGAGTCAGAGCCCAGCCTCCAGCCAGGTTTTTGTTGTCACCCCACGCCAGCTGCGTGAGCTGGGGGAACTCACCTCTCCAGTCATTGAGCCCTTTGGTAGCACAAGTTTGATGCCTGAGAAATTCAGAAAAAGGAGATGTTTCATTGTGAGATAGTGAACCCATAAGAGAAATCCACTCAATGGGGAACCTCAGTGCTGGCTCGACACCCCACATGTGCCAGTCCGTGGTGTTCCCAGAGTTAGAAGTCACTGCAGAGGAAGAGAAGTTCCTTCGGTATTTGGCAACAGACAGGTCCCTTCAACCACCACCACACAGTGATGCCACTGGAGAAGCATCTAGGATGAGTCCTTTGCCTCGCTTGGACGGCCTGACAGCCTGAAGAGGGTCTCCCTCATGATGCGGAAGCATCTGTCCGTGAGGTCAGTGACATCGTCTGATGTCAGGCCTTTGGTGTGTATTGGAGGTAGAACCTCAACCTTGATTTTGCCTGGGAACAAGAGAAAAGCTTATGAGAAACCCACACACCACAAGAACACCATTCCCTGCCCTCCCAGAACCCCTGCTCCCCCCACTCTATGACCAGCTTCCTTGGTCTGCTTGCAGAAGGGTCCCTGCTTTGAAAGGCCAGGAAGTAGAGGATGCTTGCTTCTTCCAAGCCTTCACCAAATGATTTGGGCTGTGCCAGTTTGGAGGAAGAGAGGTGGTATCCAATTTTTAATGGAAACATCCCTCACCATATTTAATTACATTCTTTCCCGCATTAACCCAGCCCAGGCTCTGGTGCCAAGTGCTTTGAACTGACTCCACGCATCTCCCAGAGGGACTCCTCCTGTTCACCCCAGTTCTGCTTCCCTCCCACACCCTTGTGAGCCAGGTTCCCACATGGGTACAGCATCAACCCTATCTCTGAGTGACTGTAAAGACCCTCAGGCTGTTTGGTACCTGATGTAAATAGATTCTTCTTTGGGTTATAGAAGGTGGTGAAGGAGGAATACACCACAGGGATCACTGGGACCTTGGGGAAGAAGAGGAAAAAGAGGGGTTACTTACACTGCAGCAGCTCAGGGCAGGCCAGAGATAAGCAGCAAATCCCACACAGCAGAGCTGGCCTGGCCCTCAGACACAAAGGGCACACACAGCCCCACAAGCAAGACCCACTTCCAAAGGCTGGGACAGTCAGGGGTCAAATGGGATCAAAACCACTCCCCAGCAACTCCAGGCACAGGGACATTCGAGGCACTAGGGCCAAGTTACACTTAAGCCTCAGGTCAGCACTGGCTCTCAGTGTCTTGTCCCAAGCCAGGCTTCAAAACCCAGGCATTTTCTGACCTGCAAACATTGGAGGATGTCTGTTTTGACAGGCCTTGCCGTGCTGTACAAGCACACATTTGGGGCAGGCCAGCTGGTGTGCCTTCACCAGTTGCAATCAAGTGCTCCCAGGGAAGCTTCAGACAGGCAGAGACACAGCCATTATTTCAGTGCTGATAACACAAATGCAATCTACAGTCAGCAACTCAGGGGGAGCGTTAGCAGAGGTGGGTACCATTTCCACTGTCATCCTTTCCTTCCAGCAGCTGCCAGCCCCTGCCTTGGTTGCATCACCCTGGCAGGAATGGGGATGGTACAGCACAGGCTACACCCTGGGCTTGGCCAATCAAACCCAGCAAGAGATCTGACACCTACTCCCTTCTCCAGGATCCCTGCTGTAACACCTCTTTTAGGGAAAGCAGTTTCCCCTCAGGCCTCGAGTCATCCTAGTCCTGAGATGCGAGGCAGAGCACGCACAGGAAGGCAAGGCACCCATCTCCTCCCAGCCGCCTCTCTGGCACCTAGTCCCCAGCACCTGGGAGCCGAGCAGGGTGGCCCAGCTTCCAGCAACGGCCCAGGCGGCACAGCCAGGTCTTCAGCATCCCTGGCACACTGCCCCAGAGCTCTGCCCAGGCAAGTACCACCGCTCCTTCAGGAGTGCCGACAGCTCTAGCTGTCCAAAGTCAAGCAGCTGGTTGTCTGCTCTCCAACTAACTGCTCATGGATCTTGCCATTTCAGAGGGAGAAGGCATTTAAGACGTACCAAGAAGGACCATATGGCTGGCTGGGAGGGAGCAGCTATTTCCACACAGAGCAAGCCAGATGTTGTTCTGGAACACACTAGCATTGACAATCCTGAAGCAACACTACACTATTGCAACCTGGGGGATTGAGAAATGCAGCAGCAGCTTTGGGATTCCCCGGGAAGGCTCACGAAGTGCAGCACCCACCGGGCTTCCTGTCAGAAGCAAGCTCTGTGCTGCAGCTGTGCTCCCAGGAGCAGGGCACAGATGCTGCACTGCCACACTGCCAGGCAGCCGCCTGCAAAGCCTAGAGCTAGGGCGATCAAGTGTGCCTGCCCCCCATGCTCTGCCTGCCAGATGGGACACTGGGAATGCAGTGCTGGGGCAGGCAGGAGAGAGGACAGGGCAGCTTCTCTACCGTCTGCAGCCACCCGTCCACAAGAATCAAGTCAGGGGATGGAAGAGGCTCTCGGCTCCTGCTGGGCAGCACTTCTGACACCTAATGGTGGTTTGGCTGAGGAGCTCCACTGTGACCTGAGAACACAGCCTACTTGAGAGCAAGTCAACCATACCACTGCACGACAAGTCTGCAATGCCACCGCAAAAGCATTCAGGGTCTCCATGCAGAAGCAAAGTGCTGTTACCTGTGCCTGGACAGCAAGGTGAAATGCTCCTTTCTTGAATGGCAGCAAATCCCCGGTGCAGTTCCTTGTGCCCTCTGGGTACACCCACACTTTCACCTGCACATGGGGAGATAAGGCTCTGCTCCAGCAATCCACTTGCCACTAGCCAAGCCACCAGCCAGCCTTGCCAAGAGCTGCAGGTGGCTGTAACTCCAGGTGAGCCAGCACCAGGAGAGCCACATCCCTCCATGCCACCCCAGGATACCCAGACACATGCCACCTCACCAAGTGCCAGTCCCACTCACGTTGTCAGTTGTCATAGTCTTGGCCACCTCCGCCATCACCATCTTGGCACTGGTGGTGCTCTTCCTGTTGATGAAGATGACGCCGCCGAGGTAGATGACGAGCCCCACAGTGCCAGCATACATCAGCTCTTTCTTGCCCACCTGGACACAGTTGTCAGGCAGGACCTCCATCAGCCCTAATGTGATGGCAGAGGGTGAGAGCCAGCAGTCACCCCCCTGCCTGCACTCAGATGGGACAAGAGACATGATCTGAGGTGGGGGGGGAGTAGCAGGGACAGGCCAGTGCCTCATTTCTCTGCTGGCTTCTGCTGCCATCAGCAGAGCAAAGAGACTTGGCACACAGCAGAATGACAGGGGCAGGGTGGCTGCAAGTCATAGCAAGACCCCTCAGAGGCAGCTCACTCCTTGCCCCCCAGGTGCCCAGCAGGACCACCTGGCACACTGCCACACAGGCTAGGCCAGGCAGGCTATCAGCAAGGCAGGGATGTACAAAGGAGCTGAGAAACACCTGAAGCTGAGCAGTACCTGGGGTGCTGCACAGGGGTGTGACTGCTCAGAGTGAGGGGAGACCCTTCCTGTAGCCAGCACTGCTAGAGACAGCTGGATTGGTTGGCTCAGTAGCCCAGATCAGCCAGGACAGGGAGCTGCTTGGCCAGGAGACGTGAGCAGGATTCCTCTGATAAGAGAGCTGCTCCTCACCCATCATGTCGAGGATGCTCTGGTGGTTGGACACAATGATAGCAGGACCCTCCACCTCGAAGTTCTCCAGTCCCTTCACCTCAAACCTTAGGCCGAAGAAATACTTGAAGGTCTTGACCACAGTTTTGATGATTCTGCAGAATAGAAAAGCAGTCAGCAGCAGGGCAGGGAGGTGACAGGGTCTGCTATACCCAGGGTGAGTGGAAGGAGACAAGAAGAGCTCTGTGACAGAGAACCTCCAGTCTCATTTGCCCTGTAGTCCACCCAGGTGTCTGTCCTGCATGGTCCCATGTGGTCAAGGTGCTTCAGTTGCATACTAAGCCCTGTCCACTCCTAGTGTGGGAATTTTACTGGAATCCTGGGGGAAGCTGATTGTAACTGAGGCCAGAACAGCCAGACTCGATGGTCCATGCTACCTTCAAGCTCACAGCATCAGCTCACAACCAGGCTCACTATAAGCTCTTTGGAAGAGCTGAGTCCAGCCCAGTGCAGTTGCAAAAGCCCTGCAAACAGAGGGCAAACTGGAAGCCCCCCAAAGTCCAGGAAGGAGAGATGCTGGTTTCAATGCTGGATCAAGGACCACTCCTCCAGCTGCCAGTCCTACCCACTCAGTGCTATTTGTTTCCCCCTGTGCCACAACTGTAGACTGCTCCAACACTACCACTGTCTTCCTCCTAAAATCAGCAGAGCCCCACAAGTTATTCAAACAGTTCTGCTAGGAGCTGCCACCCCCCAGCACCCATCACCTAAGGCAGGCTCTGCCAATACTGCTCCTTGCAGTGCTGGAAGATGCACCTAAATGATACAAACAAACATGGGGTGTTGTTACCCCAGGGAAGTCAAAGAAAGGAGGAGAATGAAGGTGAGAAACACTTCCCTGCACAATGCAAAGATGCAGCAGCAAACAGGATGCTCCCCACACAGCTTGGCAGAGGCTAGGTGCCCCTGGCAAACCCACCTTCAAGCAAATAGCTTTCGCCTGTCAGTTCACTTTCCCAGTGGATCTACAGGTTTGTCCACAAAGCTCCCAGCTTTCTTCCCCTGCACCTGAGGGCTGGGGGCCCAGCTGGCAGGAGATACCAGCAGCTCCACTCAGCCCTGCCAACGCATCAAGCAGGCTGCCATACCCTTGCTGAGCACACCCAGCTCAGCCTCGCCAGTCAAAACCCTGCCAGCCCATGGAAGCAGGGCCCATCTATGCCACCCCCAGACAGGTGGGAGCTGGGGACCCTCCAACTGGGCCAAAGGACGCAGCCAGAAGCTGGCAGCACACAGGGGCTATTTTGGGCAGGGGAGCAGCCACTTTCCAGAGCAGGAGGCAGAGAAGCTTGCACATGAACAAAGACCCCAGGAGCAGCCACCAGCTCTGCTCTCCCCAGAGCAGACTCAGGAGCTGACCTGCCCTCCAGAAAGCACCTGCATGCCCTACCTCAGGGCCCACCTTCTGCCTGGCAGACAGGGGACAGAGCTCTCTTCCCTGCAGGAGGAGACCAAAGGACAGTGTCAGCTCGTCCCCCACCACAGCGTCCAGCTGCAAGGCTGCACAGAACCATCAGTGTGAGAAGCATCCCTATCACCCAGAGTCAGGAGTATGCAGCTGGCATCTCATCCTGGCTTGGCAGCATCTCCTAGCATCTGCTCTCCAAAAGTATCCCCACCCCTGCCACCAGCTCTTCAACCACACACCCTTCTCAGGGCAGCTTTTCCTGGCGTGCCCCTACCCACACTGGGGTTTATTTCTCTGGGGGGTTCCCCATCACACAGACCACTCAGGCACTGACTTGGACACTGGAGTTCAGGCCAGGCCAATGCTCGCAAGTGACACCGCTGAGTGACACCACTATCAATCCCCTGGCATTCAAACTCGCTGCAAAGGTTAGAGCCGCACCCAGGGAAAGGACACAGGGAGGTGCCCAGGCTGCAGAGCTCCCGAGCACCACGGGCTTGCACCGAGGTTATGTGAGTGCAGTTCAGGTGAAGAGACAAAGGGGCAGGTGAGGAGTGGCAGGGTGACATGAATCAGTGAGGTCATGGGGGATGCCATGCCACCAGACTGACCTAAATCCCAATTCTCCTCCCGTCTGACTGCCAACCAAAAAAGAGGTCATTGCTCTGGAAGTCACACTGCTCAGTAGCTGCTGGGAGAGGCTGGTTACACATTACTCAAGAGCAACCATCCAACTTCCTCCTACCAGTAAGGAGTCAGCGTCTCCTTGCACAAGATGTGGCCTGAGCCACTGAAAGAGGCAAAGGGGCAGAGCTCAGAGAAAGCTAAGAAAAAACAGGTGATCGGTTGCCCTGCTGAGCTGGCCACATCATCCATGGGGTTAAGCAGATAGGTCCTACTGCCCTTCAACTCTGCAAGCAGCTTCTCTGCTGGTATGAATGATCCTGACTTGGTACAGTCACAGCTGCAGAGAGCTGTAAATCTCATGCAGTTATTACCAGACACAAGGAGAAAGTAGAAAAATGAGAGGGAATGTGCTTTTTCAGTGCATCCGTAACAGTCCAAGTCTGAAATCCAGCAGCCCCAGCTTCACATGCTCTGCAGCCTGTGACTGAGGCCTTTTTAGGATTCTCTGATTAATGAATTGCGCCTACCAGATTGGAAGCTCTTGCAAGAGGTTTCGCGGCTAGATAAACAGCTCTATCTCTATCAGACACAGAGGGCAACCTCTTCCAAGTCACACCAGCTTGGCACTGGAGCCAGGAGCACAGCAAGGACAGGGTGTTCCATGCTGGGCAGCAACGCTGTTATCACTGTCTGTCCACCAACACGTGCTCTGCTCCAACCCCCTTCCCTGAGCCGGAATAAGCAGACTGAGATGTTGTAGAAATAAGGAGCTCACTGGATCACCTCAGCCACAGACCTGCCAGGGGCTGGGAAACATGACCAGGATCATCAGCCAGTGCCAGCACATGGAAATGATGGGCTTAAGTTACAGGAAAAGGGCAGTTCTGGCCAAAATTCAGCTCTCAGTTTCAACATGAGGAGTTGTCCAGTGCAAGGAGTTCTTGTTCCCAAAGAATTAAGTTTACAGGATTTTTACAAAGTTTTAGGGTGGGGAAGAAAAAAGACACTGTTTCCATAAACTAACATCATAAATTCTTCCAGCTGCAAAGCCAGTTGCACATCAGAAAGCTGCTCCTGAGCAAGCCAAGGCAACCAAAGCTGGAAACAGCGCTAGGCTAGATATCCCAAAGCAGACAGCTGTTTCCAGTGCCTGTGGCCACAGCACCAGAGCTGATTGCAGACCGTTGGCCTGGGTGCGCAGGGCAGAGCCCACAAGGCGGCACGTCAGTGCCCTGTGCCTGCTCCCTCTGCCTTAAGCCCTGCCTGCCAGAGCCACACCACAAACCAAAGTCCAGCTCCACCAGCTGAGATGCTGCCCAACCTTTGGTCCAAAAGGATGTATTAAGGCAATAGGGCTCCCCTTTCCCCTGCACCCATATAACTTGGCCTGGACGCAGGTGGTTAGAGTAGGTAAAAAGCTGCCTATGGGAGAGCAAAGCAAGAAGCCCAGGTTCTCCTCTGCTGCCAGCAGAAGTGCCAGCTCTGCCCTTAAAATGTGCCTTCACATGCGGAGGAGCTGCTGGAGAAGAGCAGCTCCTCCACCACTGCCCTAGGCACCCTGTCAGAGGGTACGCACAGCAAGGC